AGTGTACCAAGCTGGGATCTGTGCACTACATGTTCTACCATCATGATTTCCACCAAAGGTTAGGCCTACTGACCGAGCCCGTACAATTGTGTTATCCGTGCTTCCGGGTTTCAGAATACACGATTACGACGATTAAGTATGACAATACAGCGCAGCCATATGGCATCAATTAACCTAAATGAAGCATTTTTCATTGTGTATGCTGTTCGCTCAAGAAGCAACAAACATCGATGCGACGCGATTAAAGCACTCCCAGAGAACGTAATTTAGTGTCTTCTCACCGACAGCCGCCGGTCGCACTCGCCGGCACTTCTCTAGCTTTTGTACGAGAACTCAGACGTGGCAATTCGTGTGCTTGGTGAACCATTATGATAGCGTAATGTTTCCGGTACACTGCATTCGTTTTGGCCAAGCCGTTATGTAGTTGTTGCTTTAGCGAAAGAGCAACAGCATTGCGCTGGCGCGACCGCCCTCTACATTGCGCGAAAAGCATCCCAATACTCACTCAAATAAATTAGGCGGGCGTATCTATGAAATGAGCCTAGAAGCGTCATAAAGCGTGAGCAGATGTCGCCCTTTAGAACGAGCGCGAAACGGATGTTAAACTTGGCAGACCCCGCCGGTAAACTGTTGCTGCTCCCCAGTCCACTTGGTTTTTTTTTTCCTTTAAGTTGTGAATTGTAAAAAAAAATAGCACTAGTGCCAATAACATAGTGGCAATCGTTACAGGGCGCAGTTGCTTGTGTTTAATAAATGTGCAATTTTAGTAGCAGGTGTAGATCTTGTCTATGTTGTGTACACGACAAACATAACTTAAGTTGAACCTTAAGTTTGTATGCCAACTAAGTATTTAACACGCAACCACCGTCATGTTGGTGTGGCGCAGTGGTTAGCGTCTTCGCATGGGAATCCGCAGGTTGCACGTTCGATCCTCCGTGGCGCCTTGCTTTTTTTTTTTACGGGACGGGTGTTTTTTTATACCGTTTTTATAGAATTCTTTTTTATTTTTGTGGCAGCTCGTCACGGTGATTCTGACGTCATTTTGCGCTCAAGTGTTGCCGGCACTGCAGCACCCACCATACCCACCATGCGCCATGGTGGGTGTTTCCCACCATTCACCCACTACATTAATCCACTATAATGGTGGGTGGTGGTTTCCACCATGCCCACCATTCGTTTTTTTCCGATAGGGATGGCTTGCTCGTTCTGCGTTCATGTCTGATAATGCACCAGCCGTACTTAACGTGTTTTACTTCGCCAACATCCTCACCCCTCCATCCTCCCAACGCTTTCAGTTTTGTTTTACTTTTTTCTCCTCTTAGCAAGCTAAACGGGAAATTACTGACGAGCTCTGTTTATTAAGGATTTCCAGTCAACTGAAATGACTCTCTCTCTCTCTCTCTCTCTTTTCTCTCCCCGTTTCCTGCATGGTCGTCATAGTTTGTTATTACATTGCTTTGAGGTAACAGTTCTTGCATAAATATCACATAAAGGTAGTTGAAGAGGTTGCTCTTAAATTCGCCCTCTGAAGACGTCCATCCATGTGAGGATGCCACGCTTTCATTGTCTTTATCGGTCCAAGAAGCCCCACGAGACCACGGGTAAATTAAGTGCTAAACCACTGCACGCCACACGTGTATCTTATTTCCCATAATAATAATAATAATAATCCATCATTCTGGCTCCTGTGTTAACATTCTCTGACGTACCGAACGACCCCTTTCTAGCTGACAAGCGCTCTAGCAGCAAACAGGGATCAGAGCAACCGACGCAATAAGAACAGGGAGGCACTATGGTGAGATATTTTTCTAAATATCTCACCATCGTGTTCTTTAGACGCTCATCGTGTTATCTCAATCTCACCATCCTGTTCTTTAAATGTCGCCCCGACCGTGTTCTTTAGACGCTGGGTACCTACAGAACAACAATACAACACACAAAAATGGTTCGTTCCTAGTCACCAAGTCACAGAACAGCACATGCACAACACCTTGAAGACGCCGAAGCAATGACAATTATAATGAGTGACAAGCCAACCAATGTACAGATCACTCAGCGCTACAAGAAACGAGCTCTGTGAGGAGCCAAAATGAAAAAAAGAAGTACCCCAATGTTACAAAAAGTGAAGAGAGCACTCCATTTGCTGCGACAAGCATGTTTGCACGTGTTGGCAAAGCGGAGCGCTCGTACAAGTTAAACCTAACAAGCGGACCAGGAAGAAAAGGGGACGGTCCGAAAAACGATTCCGAGAAGTTGTCCGTCCGGCCACCGTTTCGGCAAAGAGGGGAGATACAAAATGTTGCCGCCCTTCGCGGAGCATTCAAGCGGAGAAAACTAAGGAGAAAAGAGAGGCAAATGAAGAAACAAATAAATTCAAAAGCGTTGGGAAAGGGGGCAGGGGAGGGGTTGTGACGACGACCAGTGCGGAGGGGATGACCACTGTGGAAAAGCGAGCAAACAAGCAATCGTAGCGCGAAAACTGAAACGCAGTGAAACCGGAATACGTTCGGAGCCACTCGAAGAGAGGAAGGGGGGAGGAGGGGGGGTGATCACTCTGGCGCCAAGGCATCTTGCCCTCCTTCGCTTTCCCGCTGGCACCCCCCCGCTGGTTTGTTGTCCGCTAGCCGCACAGTTTGGCGCTGAAGCACCGCATTTCACTTGTCGTCGTTATCGGGAAAAAGTTTTCGCCTCGTTCCTTTTTGTCCCTCTGTTCGATCTCTTGCGGAAATCGTGCGCCCTAGCAGCGAGCTCTTATAATCTCCCTTTCCGGGATCTCTCCCCAGCCCCACTCACCCGCGAAAGTGCATTCCTTCTTTTTCTTTCTCCTTCTAACTTCTTTGTCCCAACACTGTTCGCAGTCACACGCAGCTTTTGAAGAGGAAAAAAAAAGGTGGGGGTGGGAACATACAGAAGAGATAAGCTCGGAGCCTGTGGTCCTCCTTTGGATATGCCGTACCCAGTCCCGCTTTTTCCTTCCCGTTTTTCTCGCACATTGGAAAAGCTGTCCCAACAACAACGCGCAAAGGAGCAGAAGTGAATGCAAAATGAAGAAAAGAGAAATAGGGAAGCCAACCATCCATCGTGTTCGTCTCCGCGGCAGGGATGCATGCTCTTGCCCGAAAGGAGCGGAAGCACGACCGTTTCCAGCGGAGTGCGCTTCAGTGCTACAAACTTTCCCTTTGTTTTACCCTCGTTCTCCTGTTTGCTTGTGTGCTTTTCTTTTTCGTTCAGGACCTCAATAAAGTTTTTGATCCATCCATCATGCCAGAACTATCAGGTACGGTGGTTACGTAGCGATTATCGCTATATATTTATACCAGACAGCTTGGTAGTTGTTTTTTTTTTTCGTCCATACTGCGGTGACAAAGCGCCGGATGGAAACCCTTGAAATTCTGAAAAACTGAGCAAACATTCGGGGGATTGCGATTGTGAAATTCGACGTTGTTCTGCCCTTATGTGACGTGCACATACATCACGCTCGTCACCCCCCCCCCCCCCCCTTGAAGTAGCGCGGCTTCATCGCCGTTGCCTTTTCTCCGCATGCTCTGCAGGGGAGCCGATCCAGCGGTCCAAAAACGGCGCGTGTTTTTGTGTTCCTCGAAAGCCGGTCGCGCTGTGTGCCGAGGAGCCGCCGCCACGGCGCGGGAGAGTGAGGTCTCTCCTCCGCTCGACCTCCCAAAGCCAAAACAGCCGAAGCTGTCGCACGCGCACCACTACTCCGCGCTGAAACGAGCGGCCGCGTGCAGCACTCCTTCGGCCCGCTGGGGTTCGGCGCGAGCCCTCCCTCTTCTCTGCATCCATTCCCAGACGGGACGCCGCCGGCAGCAGCATCGGAGAACCCAGGCGTCGTGGTGTCGCGCCCGGGCCCCCCCACCCGCTTCCTCGGAGCTTCGACCCATCGTCGTCGTCACAGAGTCGTCGGCCCTGACGCCACGGTGCCCTGACGAGACGTATATTGCCATTTGCATGCCCGTCTCGCTTCAACGCCACCGGCCGGGTTCGCCTGTGCCCGATGACAGTGCCGAGGAGGAGGCGACGACGCCGGAGAGGAAGGAAGGTCCTCATCAACTGACAGTCGCCGATGCGACGATGACGCTCCTTCCCTTCACCTGTCCGTTCCGTGTGGCGCATCAGAGAGCAAGTCGCATGTTCCCTCGTGGCCCCTGCTTCTGCTGCTGATGGCACGGAAGCAGATTTTCGGCTTCCAGGCAGCTGACAAAGGGCGCACTTGAGAGACACACCGGCGGATGAACGGGGACGTACTTCGGAAGATTAAGGATATCCACTTCTTTGTGCGTGTTTGTGCGCGGGGGTGATCTATAGCTACTTGTGCGGTTTCGTATCCGCGACACAGCAATTGGTGCGGCGACAGTTGCCGAGAGTGGAACAATAACAATCTGTCATTGCTCCCCATTTTCGTACTCTCGCGGCGCGAAGAAACGGGGCCAGTTTTTTCATCCGAGCTCCCCGGCAAGCGCGTCACTGTTTCCCTCAGCCCATGGGGAAAAGGGGATAAAAAGGAAGGAGTACGGGGAGACCAGCGGCGACGACAAGCCGGATCAGTGAAAGCAATCAAAAAGAAACCGCAGAGCCGTGCGGGGGCGTCGGCGACCACCATACATCAAGCGAATTTTCGACTGGGTGGTGTTGTTGGCGGATACTAGCGAGCAAGCAAAGCAGCCTCCGAAGGGCCAGCGAACCGGAGCGCGCGCGGAAGTAAGCCAAGCAAGCTCGGAAGGAAGCGGAAGGGGAGGGGCGACCGCGATCCCGGCGCCGGACAGCGCGTCGGCGGCAGCGGCGCTGGTGGTGAAGCGAAGCCGCCTGTTCGGCGCGCCACGCCGCTTGTTGTCGGGCGGCGGGGAGTGGAGACCGACAGCGCGGCGCGGCACTTCGGCGTCGCGGCGTCGGGCGAGCGCCGGCGCTGGCGTGTGCGCCGGCTCACGGCGCTCTCCACGACGACGGCAACGCGCCGCTGGAAGCAGTCGCGGCGGCTGGCGGACATGCTCGGCCTTGGCACCGCGGGCAGCGTCGTGCAAGCCGCGACAACGATTGCCAGCTGGCCGCTCCTGGTGCTGCTGCTCTGTCTTCTCGGCCAGTGGCCCGTCGCGGAAGGTGAGCGGAGCTTTCAACTCTCCGTGGCGGAAATAATCGGTTGTTTGTGGGACGCGGTTACGAACGAGAGCGGCGCGCCGGGCCAAGCAAGCCTGGTTAGATATGAATGTTGTGTGAATTTCCAATACATCCGTGACTACACCTTATTCCGTTGTCATTCTTTTCTGGATAAATGTTATGCTTTATTCCTGATGGCGTCATAGACATCTCGGAATGGCTGTTGAGCTTTTCGAAAAGCCGCGTGGATGATGACTCATCCATGTGGCCCCGATACTTTCGCCAAATTTGCTACTCGATCACGCGCGCGGCTGCGTGAGGTGGTGATTGATTATTAAGACGCGGGTTGTTAGCAAGTTGTTTGCGACTCAAAAACACATCAACAGTAATTGTTTTCGTGATATAAGTGCGCGCGAGAACGAATTAATAAAATTGGCTACCGCCGCCACATTTTCTTCCATTATTACTCTGGACTTGCGTTCGCTGTAGAACTAATATATGTGCTATCGCTGTTTCTCCAAGTCACCATTTCACAAGGTTTATTTTTATTTCTGAAGCGTTCTATCTTGCCTTGAATGTTCATTGATTATTGCGGGGAACTTGCCATCACGTAAAAAAAAGAAAGAAAACTCTCCGTACGGAAAGCCGATACGGATATCGAACTCGGCACTACTGCCCATCTGCTAGCCTGTATATTGAGCCGACGCCTTACTTTGGCGATCAGGAAATGTAGCGATGATTGATGGTGGCTTTCTATGAATGAGAAGGAATGAAGCAGGGTAGATGAAGAGGGGGTGGTGAAGTAGAAGAAGGTAGCACAAGGCAGGCATCCCGCTGCTCCTTACGGAGTGCACCACACCGAATGACCAACCAATGAACACTGCTGCCCTTCTGACATCACTCGCCTGTTTTATGCTTGAACGCGTGTAAGCACGTGCTTGGAAGATCCACTAAACGCACGTGTTCATTTTAACGAAAATGTTTGCCTTGAACGAGTGGAGTATCGATCTTAAGCATTTGTTAAATTACCACCCCTCCTGCCGCAACAAAGCTGAATCTGTGACTGCAAAATGGTAAACACTGTGAAAGCTGCAGATAAGAATACTAATTCTGTTTCAAATACGTGTTATTTCCGCATTTTATTGCGTGTAACGCGCCACCACATCAAAGAGTCACCTCCAACTGGTGGTCAAACTAAGGAGAAACAGATCCCCGCGTATTACCTGCACATTGTGGTCACATTAACTGAGAAATGTTATCCCACACCTTGATAGAAGTTTCTTCACATATGATGCTCCAATACTGAAAAAAAAAAAACTTTTTTCTCACTCAATTTACCTCACCAACGTCCTCACCAACAATTAGTTTCAGCCGTCCCCTTCACTGTCACCTACCTTCCATTGCAGCAAAGTATTGCCGTAAAACCACCTTGCGCATAAAAATTCTAGATTGGGTCGCACCCAGACTTCAGTTCCTTTAGAGCACAGCTCTTTGCTGTCCGTTTCTGGACTAAGCGGCGTAACCCTTGGCGTAACCGATAGAGCGAACTGCTTTTGAGCGGATTCTTGATGATATCACGAGCCACTCGCTTTCTTGATCCGTCACGCGCGCTCGGTCTTCGGCCGGAGCTCGTGTTCTTGAAGGGTTGGCACGTGCACTACGGCTGGCTTCGTTTGTCGTAACGGGCTGTCGGCGTTCCGCTTGGTTCGCGACGCCTGCAATGCACAGAGTGGTGGGCGCAGCACTCGAGCGCTGACAGTTTCTGCCACACTATGTAACGAATGTTGCTCTGCTGGAACTTCAGGCACAGTTGGCTTTGCCCCAACACGAAGGTACGCTCAGAACTCCCATTCGGCAATATTGTAATTGTCGCTGATATTTTTAGAGGCGAAGCTCCTTAGGGTGTGGGTCGTTCTCGCGTAGTAGTAGTATGTTGTAGTAGTAGCCACTTCTAGTTAGTTCTAAGAATTGCTCACTAGATGGCGTTGTGTGTGTGTCCTTGGAAATATCACTAGATGGCGTTAGTGGCTTTATTCACAGCATATCTACGAAGTGAATGATGAGCGTGGGCGAAGCGTCCGTCCGTCTGTCCGTCACAGAAAGACAGAAGGACGGACAGGTGTGAGAGTTATTGCATCCCACGCCGGACCAATCGGCGCTCGTGTTCTGGGAGCGAAACCGATGAGGAGGAGGGAGCGTGCCGGTTCATGGCGACGATAGTGTTGGTGCCTTGTGCACGGTCTAACGGTCGGCTCGGACAGCTCAGTTGTTAATAAAGAAGAATAAAAAAATATTACCTGTAGCTAATTGGGGTGAGTACAGACTTGTCTCTTTCTAAGGATAAATGTCAACTCTCGATCGCCAAATCGTGCCTCCCGCGACTCTCCGAACAGAGCGTAATTAGCGATCTCCAAAATGGAGTTATCAAGCGTTTTCAAAAAGGGTTATGTATACACCAAGTCAGGACTTACCGAAAGAGTCATTGGCAATGTTTCATTTTTTTTTCTTTGAGTGCAGTGTGTTTGAGAGATTTTATATCTGACTGTTTTGTGTGGCGGTCGCTCGGACTATCGGAGAGCTCTTCACACTTCATTTCAATTGACATTCATTTTTCTGTGCTGCAATACCGATTAACTAATGAGTAGCTAATGCTCCGCTCAGCAATCTGAGCCTTTTATGTGGTACATTCCGTGCCGTTTTCTACTCGCTTTTCGTTTCTTGTTTTCTTTTTTTTCTTATCTTACCACTTTTAGTTATTCTCTCTGACAACCCCTCACTTTCTTCCTTTCTTTCTTTCTTTCTTTCTTCTTTCTTTCTTTTTTCTTTCTTTCTTTCATTACGGCCACTGTACCGCTGTTTGCATCGCAGCGCACTTCTCGCCATGGGTCTGCCAACAGACGTTTTGCTTTTAGTTTTTCGAGATATGAAACCAGTGGATCTGTGGAGTGCTGTGTTCTTTTTTATCGTCGCACTTAACCCGTTTTGAACCTTCCGTATGGTCGCATCAACTGGAAACGTCCTTTCATAACATATAACGTAACATTTCCTAAACAGTGAAGCACATTTTGACCGGCTTTCTCAAGTATCAGCGCACCTAAGTAACCGTCATATTTGCTGCTAACGCGTATGAAACGCCTCATGACTGTAGTGAGGGAGAGTTAGTGAGTGAGTGAGTGGGCAAATAAACTTTTATTCGGTCCAGTGAAACGCGATAAAACGCGCACCTGGCTAATCCCACGACGGGATTGGCAAGTCTAGGCGGTCACGGGCACGCTGGACGGCCTGAATTTGGTCTTCATGGGCGGGACTTCGAGGGAGCGCGTCCCACTGTTCTTTGGTGAACCTATAGGGCCCAACGACCTGCACTCGCAGAGCATGTGAAACAAAGTAGCAGGCTACGCAAGAGCTAGTTGGGTAAATGCCTGGATATACGCTGTTGAGGCTCACCGGATTGGGATATGAGTTAGTTTGCAGGAGTGTGAGCATGACCTCCTGCGCCCTGCTGAGCTTGAATGAAATGACGGGAAGACTCTTTTTTTTAAGTAAAAAAAAAATAAATCGTAATTTTATTGTGAGTGCTAGGTGCATCCCTGTATCCGGGTGTAAAGTCGTCTGATCCAAGGATAGCGCCTTCGGTAAAGCCACGCGCAGACTCGTGGGCCGGCTCGTTGAGGTTAAGAGGAACACCCCCGATTGCCCCGACGTGGGCAGGGAACCAAAATATAGCGTGTGTGAAGCGGCCACTGTTTTTGGCGCCTTTCAGAACTACCTGCCAGACTACCCGGCCTCTCTGGAGTAACCTAACAGCCACCTTTGAGATGTTAAACACCCTGTCTCTCCGACCATCTTGCATGGCGAGTGCAATGGCCTCTTGCTCGGCCACCTTGGGATCTGTCGTCCAAATCGAGGCGCAGTTGACGGCTTGGCCCAGCGAATATGATGGAAACCGCAAAAGCCTTGCCGTCGTTGTACGCGGCGGCATCCACAAAGCTTGTGTTTCTCTTATCCTCAGTGATGTCATTTAGTAGCTTCGAAGCTCTTGCCTTGCGACGGCCTGTGTTGTGTACGGGATGCACGTTGCGTGGCAGCGGAGTGACGACGAGCTTCTCCTTTTTTTTTCTGGGCATTCGGGTGTTGCTGACGAAGTCTTTGGTTGGAGCGAGTCCGATTTCTTCTAGAATCCGCCTACCAGCCGATGTGGTGGAAAGCCAAGTTAGCTGGGCCCGTTCCTGAGCCTCGGCAATCTGCTCCATGATGTTGTGTATGCCAAACCGGATGATGTCTTCGATGTGTGTTCTTACTGGTAGCCCACGTGCTCGCTTGATGATTTTTCTAATGAGGGCAATGAATTTGTCCCTCTCTGCTTTGAGCCAGTTGTGCATGGCCATTGTGTAGGAGAAGTGACATAGCACAAAAACGTTGATCAGCGGAAGCAGGCTGCCTTCCTTGAGGCCTCTGCGTCGGTTCGTGACCCTTCACGCGAGGCGAAGAGAGTTCTCAGTTTTTGTAATTATTTTGCGCAGTGCAGTGCCGTTGCCAGCACGCGATTCGATTAACATATCGTCCCGATATGTTAATCTGATGGTGGAACCCTGGGTATATGGTCGCCACTCCAAATGAATGCCGCCCTCGGAGACCCGCTTCCAGTTGTTAGGTCTGCCCCCTTTTTCTCTTCGATAAGACAGCTGTTCATATTTGGTCGGGAAACACTTGAATTCGGTGTGTACCAGGTTTGGTTGTTAGCTTTGGTTGTTTACTCAAAGACAGAAACGAGAAAAAAAGGAAGGCAGGGAGGTTAACCAGACGCTAGTATCCGGTATGCTGCCCTACACTGGGGTTGTGGAATAGGGGGTTGAAAGGTACGATCTATTTATAGCGTGGCAATATGCATTAGTAGTCACCGGATGCTCTCCTCCACGGTAATTTTTTCAGCGAATGCGGAATATCTATGTCTGAGTGCACCACGGGGAACGCTATTCCAAGTACCTCAATAGATCATCGTT